GGTAGAATTCATGCTCCATTCTATCCCAAAAGCTCTGGGGGAGAAACTTGCTACGCACCATCATCTTCATTGCTCCCAAGAGAGAGCCTGAAGCTCTGCCTCCGGCTTCCGAGCCCAGTGATCAATCCACCAGTCGGAAGCGTCCTCCTTCATCTGATATGCTGCAAGGGACACTCGCTGACGGTCAGGGAGGGGAAGTACAGCGAAGATCTTGTCCAGTTCTTTGATCAACTCTAGCACAGCTGTGGGGTTCTTAGTCCCCGCAAAGGTTGGTGCATTCATCCTCTGAAACTGAATGATAAGCTGGGTAAGGTCCATGGCCGGAGGGGCCTGGTGCTGACGGGGCAGAGAAGGCTACGGGGACGATTGACGATTACGGTTGTTGTTGCGAGTATTCATACTTCTACATTGAATAAGTCGAACGAGGTTTAGCACAAAAACAACAAAATAATCAATACCTACTGAAGTCTAGAGTTCGCCAAATAAACACTAGAGTTCAATTAAATCGTGGTGGATAGATCTTAAGCCCCAAATCACAAGTTCATCACGAGTAGTTTCGTTACTACAAGTGCATCAATTACATAACAAGTATTTACATTAATACTTAAACAAAACATACCTTAAGCAGCGCGGAGTGACTGAGACGAGTGGTCATAACACAAGGTCTAGACACATAATCACATATGTGCCAGTCTACAGAAACGCAGACTGGTTCTGATACCAAACTGTAACACCCCACTTGATTTTAAAGAAATTCCAGACTTTCCAAAAATCAGTGTAAAATTTTCAATATCATTTTCGAAAACTCAATGGGTGTCTAACAACATTTTTCATAACCCAAGTCTTATCTGGGCTCACGGGGATTCATTACCCGGTTTTCACAAACGGTTTTCATTAACCGAAACATACCACGAGACATAATTCTCAACTTGAATATATAATCAATCCATAATACCCAACAATCCGGGTTCCACAAATTTCCAAGACAAGCAAGTCATAAATAGGTCATACCTAACTCTATGCACATAAATAATACATGTTCAGATGGTATGGTCGCAGTATGAATATAAATCAATCATCATCATGTCTCATCTCCTAATCTCAACAATAACTCACTCATGCACACATCTATCATTAGCCGCGGAAAGGGGATGCATAAACCCTAACGACGGGAGTGCGTGCCACTGTAACGGACACGGCCTTTCATTAGGTCTTAAGGAGACTTGCCTCGCAAGGGCAACCGTACCGTAACTCGACGGGGACAACCGTACCGACGGCCGTAACAGCTCACATCAGTAGGCCACATGGTTCACATTCATACATAGGTCATACCAACTAAAAACTCAAACACACGTATGACATAGATAATTTTCATGAGTAAAACCCACCTGGTACAACAA